ACACACACACACACACACACACACACACACACACACACACACACACACACATAAGAGATAAAGAACCCGAGAGCATATGTTCGTGCGTTGAAGTAGATAAAAGCACTACGTGTGCAACGATGACGATTGTGTTATAAATATACATTGTACACTACAAAAGATTCTCTACTACACGGTTTTTGATACCGCTAAAGCTGTACGTATAAGACGTAAGCAACAATCGCACAAGGGAGTAGGGGTCTCTTACATCCCTCGCCCCCACTTCGGACGCATCTTTGCTTTGTCTATAGATGTAGCTAAGCAAGGGAACCACATAAAAAAGGAAAAGAAAGAAAATAAACCTAAACAGATAAAGGAAGAGAGAAACCACTTCACGAATTTCAATATATAATAATAAATGAGCTTTGGAAAATCATGGAATAATATTGACTGTTACCCTGAGATGAATGAAAACTCTTACGTTAAATGTTATTTCTTTCTGAGGAAAGGGAGTCATGATATCCCACAAAAAAATTAATTAAAAAAAAATTCATCTACCAAATGAAACGAAACAGTGACAGTTACTGACCGTGCAACAACATCATTGTGAGAGGAATACGAACCTATAGCAACACTTTTGACACTGTAGTCAGCGATGAACGCGTTGTGGCGCAAAATATTTAAGAAAATGTCACTAACAGAAGTCGATGAGAGCAGGTGTAAATTCAGCATACTTAAAAATATAAAGTACATGTATTAATACAACTAAAGCATTACCCAAATAGCAAACACCATTACTATGACATTACAACAGCCATCACTATGATACAAGAAATAACAAACTGAAAGAGAAACAATAATATTTTATTATGATAGATAAGAAAACCCCAAATTTAAAACATTCTTCGGTAAAGTAATTCGTACTCTCGGGCTGAAACTTGTAAAAGTTTACAAAAAAGGATGCTACTGAAGGGCACAAAACAACGACAACGAATTATTCCAAACCTCGATGGCGACGCAACCACGACCACTTTTGCCTCTGGTTCTCGATCCGCCTCTGTCCCCCACGAGCACGCTGCCTTCGAATGACGCGCAGCACGAGCGGGCGGCCGTGTGTCCTATGCCCTGCCGAAAGGCGGGAGGTGAACGATATTGTGGCGACGGGGTGGAGCGCGGAGCGGCAGTGTCGTTGGCGGCGGGGAGTGGCGTGCGTTGTCGTGGTACCTGCACAGCTGTTGCCTCCCACAAAGTGGCAGTAACGATCACAGGATAACTGCTGCATGGGCGCAGACATTGTGTTAGGGGCTGGGGGGGAGCGAAACCACCGCCTGGCTGATTGCGTCGCGTGGATGGTGTTATAACAATAGTAGGGGGTGGGGGGAAGGGCACAGCAGGATGGGATGGGTGGTGAAACTACTATTGGAGACCGATTCAGAGAAAGA